CCGTTTTATTTTAACCATCCAGCAGTCACATATATGAATTAACTATTTCATTCATAAACTTCTTATTTCTTTTAAAAAGTTGTATACGAGTACTGAATAAGTCTAACTTTCTTAATGAAGGAAAATTTCAAAACAAATGCCTCAATGTCGCTCTTTATGGCCGAAATGACCACAAGGGGGAGCCAGCATGTAACTTCTCATGGGGCAGGAGCATTGAGGTTTCATAATTAATTGAACCTTTTTATTTCTGGCTAAGTCAGGAGAGGACATGAGTATGACATTTGAAATTTATGAAGCTCCGGATAGGTTTTCTCAGAATTACATCTTGCACAATGTAATCCAACTCCCAGTTTTAATTATATGCTAACTAACACATTAGACGTAACATATTTTCTTACTGACGATTCTTGTTTGCGGCCTCTCAAGTATTCCACACACAACTTCACACACAATTTATTTACACTACACCAAATAACCTTAAATTGTCAAATTTAAATATAAAAATTTTAAATTAACTTTGAAATTTGTCTCAGTACTTAAAAACAAAGGTCCTGAAATATGTCACTGTTCAAAATTTGATCATTTGTGACTAATGTATGACTATGTCCTTTTGACTAACATATTTAGAAATATATGTAAAATAAAATACATTAACACCAGTCGGGAATTTAATTCATTTCTTGTGTGAGTTTTAAATTAATAGAACTTGTCTGTTTTTGTAGGGTTAACCCTGTAACTTTATTTTTTACTTTCTCTAGGAATGCATTTTGTTTGTGTGGGAAGAAGTCACAAGTATACATATAGTATTTCATAACAACATATACATATAATAAAAAAGGAATAAATAGTTTATTTCCTTATAAATATTTTTCTAATAGCAAGATTTTGTAGTTTTACTAAAAACTAAAAAAAATATTCAATTTACAATACTGTTTATTTGTGAAGATATTTTATATTTGTTTCTTATTTTGTTGTATAGGAGAGATTGAGTTCTCAAAACCTTTTAAAATTACAAAATATTTCTCCTGAAGCTTAAAAATTATAGTTCACTTGCATCTTTATTGTAATTCAGATTTATGATAAGAGAGAGATGTTTTAGTGATTGTCCTATTAGTAGCATAGATTTGTCAATTGTTAAAAGAGACGGCTTTGGTTAAAAGTCAGCAAATGGCCAAGAACTGTGTGTTAGAGGTGAGCCACAAGTATCTCTAAAAGACAACGGAAACTCAGAGAACTAGCTGTGAATGAAATACTATTACTCATTTTAGGATTCATATGTGATAGGGAAACTTTTCATACTTACATCTAAAATAGTTAACTGTTAAAATTACTTTTGAAGATTTTCTACTAACATTAAAATATATGAAAGCAGGTAGTGAAATAATGGTAAGAAGGATAGAAAAGTAAACAGTAGAAAGGGAATTTTTATTCCTCTAAACAGTGGTTGTGTTGAAAATATCAGCATCAAAATTTCTTCTAAGTACTGTATTGAACTCAAGAATACAGCAAACAGGACAAGTTTTTGAAGATTGTTATACGTGCCGCCTTTATGGCTGCAAGCATAAATTCTTGGAACTACAAATACAGCTAGTACATAGCGAAATACAGACAGTCTCTCAAAGACATAATTAAATAACTTAAATAACATGAGATTTCATTAAAAAGCATCTTTAAGATTATGTATGAATAATGTTAACTAAGTTATTGATTTAATGTAGAATTATTAGTCAATCTTTCTTAGTGTATAAAATGGCCATAATGCTTCTGTCAGTAGCTATTCTAACATAACAATCAATTTATTTTAAAACTTACTTGGACTATCATATCTTATTAATTAAATAATTTTGTTATATTTATATTAATTAAATAATTTTATAATTATTGATTACATGGTTTTATATTTATATTTCATAATTATATTAATTACATAAGTTCCTTTTCTCAATAAGTGTGCATACATATTGTATTTTGATTAAGTCAATGATATCTTTGGATGTTCAATATTTGTTTAATGAAGAAGTAATAATACAGTTTTGGTTTAAGGTTGAGACTACCATCTGTAATCATAAATCATGATTATCAACCAGTCTCCTCTAGAGAAATGTGAGACTGTAGGCACTGTTAGTTATGCATAACACTGTATTTTTCTAGATTCCTCAACCAGATCTCATGTGCCATAGCCTACTATGGTATAGAATATAATAAAATCTTTGAACTATTTAATCACACGTATATCCATTTTTTAAATGAACTTAGTATTTTAAGTATACTTAAAAAGAAGTTACTTAATAACTATATATCAAACAAAATATTTGGAAAGAAAAAATAGAACTTATGAGATGTTAAAAAATTAGTAGTGATTATAGTTTTAAAAAGTGTGTCTTGTTAAGGGGAAGCAAAAGAATTGAAAATACCAGTTGATTCCATTTCCTTTAAAAATAAAATAGGGATGAGGGATAAGGATAAAAATTAGTTAGTTTGGGTACATGTCAGTCTTTAATAACAGAACTCAGCACTACAACTTAAATAAAATATAAGTAGATATCTGATAGAGTTCCATTTTGCTGCCTTTTGCAGATGCCCTGTGGCATGGTATTCTCTTTCTATACACTAGGGGGAAGTGTAACATAATTACTCTGGAAAGGGTGGTGGGCAAATTCTCTATGAGGCTGTATTATCACTGGTCTCTTCCCAGGCACTGTATTTTCCCCCTCATTTGTGTAACAGCACATTTATTCAGGGCTAATCAATAAGCCATGTTCCCCTTTCCTTGAATTTTTTCCTTCTGTTATTGTAAAACAAATAAAGATATTTTATGACTTTCCCTGAATAAGTATATAATGCAAAAAAGCCATAGGTTTGTCATATTAAAAAAAAGTAATGATTAATAAAGGAGTGTGTAATTACTACTCTTTATTTAAGTTAGCTGCTGCTTTTAAAGCATCAAAGCCTCAGCTTCCAAGATACACGTATGGGTACAGAGATACCAAGCCAAAGAATATACAAAGGTGAGGTTTCACAAAGCAGCATGTTTAGGCACTCACTCAGCAAAACAACCCAGGTTTCTACAAAGCTCTAGCTTCTGTGTTTATCAAAGATATGTGCACAAACTACCTATTTAGAAAATACAAAGACATTTCAGGATTTGAAGGTCTGGCTATAAAGAACTCCTCTTAGAATTTTTAAATTGTTAAAGATATCTCTTAAGAGAGTGGTGAATTTTGGATTCCCATCAGACTGTAAACTCAGACTACAAGTTATCTCATTGAATCCTCCAGGAAATAAATAGCTCCTTTACTTGAATCTTTAAGCAATTATCCCAACAACAATCATCAGAACTTTCTGTAATTGGTCTGGATTTGATTTTCTTTGAATCCTGAATGATTCATGTTACAGACTTGTACGTTAGTCATTCACAATTTATAAATGGCAACTTAACTTTAGTATTTATGAATTGCGATCAATACTCTAGCAATCAAAACACTCACCTTTTCTATTTCAATACTTCAATTTTCTTTTTCCTTCTTAACTCTTTCCTAGAACCGCAGGATCGGGAGCAAACCAGTCTTCACTTGTGGATGTTTGTGATAATAGTTTGGGAAAAAGGAATCTGAGATTAGAAACTGAAGTTGACAATGTAAATGAAGCAGGAGCCTCTGTGTGTGTGTGTGTGTGTGTGTGTGTTGGGTGTGTATGTGTGTGTGTGAGAGAGAGAGAGAGAGAGAGAGAGAGAAAGGTGGTAGTAGTAGTGGTAGTGGTGGTGTTACTTAGAAAACATGAATCTTAACAGATGTCCCACTGATCTGCCTTTCACTTTCCGCTCAGCTTTTATGCATAGGAGCTTTGGCAAATGTGATTATCTACACTTGCTTGGTTGAGATAAAATGGTTCAGATAGCCATATAGAACTTCAATAACAAGAGCGAGTAACAAAACCGGAAAACGTGTGTGTGTGGGGGGGGGGGGGTGTCCGCTTTACCTTAAATCTGGACTGAGGTGAGGGTGACTGAGAAGGGTAGAGTCCTAAGTATTACTTAGCCAGATTTCAGCTTTAACAAACTACAAAGATTGAATCGACAGTGAGCCTTTCTCCTTAAAGGAGAGGAGTTTCCCCTGGGGAGACACGGCCTCTCTTTCACTGGGCTTCTGCTTTTCTTCTGAAACACTTTCATAATCAAGTGACTTTCCTTACATAGGTGCCTGGGGACAGCTGATTTTTCTCCGAGGATAAAGAAAGTTACATATTGATTGCTGTTGCTCCGGGTATGTTTGCACCAGCTCCCGCTGAAGCGGGCGCGCGAGCGCCCTCGCATTCACACACATTCGCTGAAATACACATTACATCCCCCCAGAAACACACACACACAGACACACACACACACTCTCTCTCTCTCCACGCGCGCGAGTACACACACACACACACTCTCTCTCTCTCTCTCTCTCCACGCGCGCGAGTACACACACACACACACACACACACATCCCTCTGCACCACATTCAGACAGATCCACAAGCAGCCAGAATATCTGCTCTTCTCTTGTTTGGTGCCAGTGTGTGTGTATGTGTGTGTGTGTGTGTGTGTGTGTACAGAACCCATGGGGAAGACCGCAGCTACCTTATTCTGCAAGCACGCTGCGATTCAGGTTCCTGTGTACATGGAGAAAAAAAAATCGCTATCAAACTTTTTTTTTTTTCCTTTTAATTCTCCTTTTTCTGGAGGAAGACGGTGGAGGAGCTTCTCCCATTAGTTAAAGACTCGGGAGACCCGGCGACGAGGCTCTAGGTGCCGCCGCCAAGGCGGAGCGCGGGCCTCTGGTAGCCGAGCTGGTCTCCCATCTAACTGATCTAATCAATGACTCTGAAGAGCTGGGGCTCCTGGCTCCGCCCCCGCCAGTCTCTTTGCCGCCTCCTATTGGGTGTGGGCCGAGGAGGCAGGGTCTTGTTCCTCACGCGGATTGGCTGGCAGGGAATCAGTATCAATGTTTAAGCGGCGGCGTGAGGTGAATAGAGTCAGTCAGCAAGAGGCGCTGGGGAGAGAGCTGGGACTGCGAACCCGGCGGATGCGGCAGCGGCGGAGGGCGGCTGGGGAGACGCTACTCCAACTGTTGAATTTTCACCTTTCATTTCCTCCGATGCTTTGCTTGCGGAGATGGATTTATTTGCTTTGAAATCCGCACGTCTTTCGCAGGCTATGAGCTGATCCTGACAGGCACCAGATTAAAAGCGACCACCCGTGACAGAAAAGGAGGAAAAAAAAAAAAAAAAACCCTCCACAACGGACTGCACAATTAACTATGCACACCGGTGCTGGACTTTGTGAATAGAGAACATTGAGAGGAAAATCATGAACTATGATGCGGGGCTAAGCTGTGAGCAGTCACTGGAATCCTGATATTTTTTTTCTTTTTCTTTTTTTTTTTTCAAGACTCTGAAAGATTTGGGGGTTCCTCACGCCTCGTCAAAAGGAAAGGTTTTTTTTTTTTTTTTCTTAAACAAATAAATAAAAAAATAAATACACCTAGCAAAACAGACGCCTTGTTTTCCAGACCCTCGGACCCCGGCAGAAAGAGGTAGAGTAAAAGTGCTGCTGGATTCAGCTACACCTTCCTCCTTCCCTCCCTCCCTTTTCTCTCGCTTTTTCTTTTCCTCCAAGACATGAATCTGGCTTTTCTTTCTATAGAGTGAGTCAGAGAGAAAGCGTTAGGAAGAAGCCGCAACTAATGTCTGTGAAGGGAGGACCATGAGGCGAGAGTGAATTCAATTCGTTCCACTGCTTCTGACTCATCGGGCAGATCGGAACACCTGCATTTCTGGATGTGTCATTCCCGTATGTCGAGGCGCCTCGAGAACCCGAAATAATGTGTAGACAGACCTGTGCCTAACATCCCCTCGGAGGTCGCTCTCGGGGGGGTGGGAGCCCCTGACTGGACCGCCGCGGCCGCAGCTCCTCACCCCTGCCCTCCTCGAGTCGCCCAGAGAAGACTGTGTGAGAGCGAGACTGCAGAATGCATCACGCCAAACCTTGATGTGTTTCTTTCATCCAGCCCACTCCTACTATTAAAAAAAAAAAAAAAAATTGACGGGGAAAAAAAAAAAACCCGCACTTTATTCGCTTCAGATATTCACCACTTTTATTCCTCGCCAAGGTTTTCCTTTCTAGATGAAGAGGACTGGGAGGCAGGGCCATTGGAAGGAGATGCTGAATAGAAAGAAAAGAGAGGCACTTGACAGCCCAGCCCTGTGAATGCAGAGACTGTTTCCCTTCTAGCGAGAGACAGGGAGAGTGTGTGTGCGAGGACTGGGAGGGTGGCTCCCCCTTCCTTTTTATTCCACCTCCCCCTCCCCCCTTCAAATCTGCACATCCAACCATGAGTTGCCTGTTGATTTCCTTTCGCCTGGGAAGAAAAGCAAACTGGAATTAAACTGCATCGAGAGAAGTCCTTGCTCTCGCGGAGAGAATGGGATGGTAGCGGCGGCTACTGGCTTAGCATAGAGAAATCACACAGAGTGTGTGTTCTACGAACAGAGGCGGAGAGAGCTACATACGCCCCCCCCCCCCTCCCAATAGACTCACGCCGCAAACGCTGATCTGGCTGTGGCTTTCCTGACTTCGGGGGAGAGCCTTTTCCGAGGAAGAGAGGGAGGAGCCTGGTGGAGGGAGGAAACTACAAATCGGGACACTAGTTCTTTGCGCTGCATTTCCTCCCCTCCCTTTGACTGCTCGGAAAGGAGAGAGAGGAAAAAAATACGCTTGGCTGGGAGATGCAGTCCGCTGCCGCCTCTGCCTCAGCCAGCAATGCAAGATTAGATCTCTAAATGCAGCAAAACACTGCCTGAAAACCGAACAGCCCGCGAAGCCAGCAGACATTTCACTGGGCTCCGGCGAAGATTCAAAATATATCAGATTCTCTCTCCGTTGCTTCTCGCCCCCATCAATTTCATCACAGGAGACGGGAAACAAGTAAGGATTTCACTTTCCCATCTGCCTCAAGACACACCTCCCCGCTCCCTCCCCCACCCGATGTGAAGAGTATTCCGGTGGCTACCGCGGGAGTGGATTTGCAGCGCCCTAGCGGGAGCCAGGAAAATCTACCGATTCTTCACCACCCCTTCTAGACGCGATTTCCATCTTATCGCTGGCCTCATCGCTCAACTTTGAGTCGCCCCTAGTCCCGGCGGAAGAGACAAAGCCCCGGGCTCGCCCCCAGCCGCAGGGAGCCGCCGCCTTGCTCCGTGCCCCTGCAGCTTCGCTGCGCCGCCGCTTCTCGCCCAGTGCGGATGCTGTAGATCAACAGGTTCGGGGAACTTGAGCGGAATAAGGAGACCGCCGGGTGCCGCAGCCCAGGAGCAGAGGGAAGGAAGGACCCACAGACTTGTGGCTCGTGTCGCGCGCGCACGCTGCGCCCGAGCCCCAGGCTGGCGCGCTCCCACTCGCTCGCCCCTCCAGTCCGGCTGCTCCTGCCCCCACCCCACCGGTCTGGGATGTACCTTTCCATCTGTTGCTGTTTCCTCCTATGGGCCCCTGCCCTGACGCTCAAAAACCTCAACTACTCGGTGCCGGAGGAACAAGGGGCCGGCACGGTGATCGGCAACATCGGCAAGGATGCTCGACTGCAGCCGGGGCTTCCGCCCGCAGAGCGCGGTGGCGGTGGCGGCGGCGGGCGAAGCAAGTCGGGTAGCTACCGGGTGCTGGAGAACTCAGCGCCGCACCTGCTGGACGTGGACGCGGACAGCGGGCTCCTCTACACCAAGCAGCGCATCGACCGTGAGTCCCTGTGCCGCCACAACGCCAAGTGCCAGCTGTCCCTCGAGGTGTTCGCCAACGACAAGGAAATCTGCATGATCAAGGTGGAGATCCAGGACATCAACGACAATGCCCCCTCCTTCCCCTCGGACCAGATTGAGATGGACATCTCGGAGAACGCAGCGCCTGGCACCCGCTTCCCTCTCACCAGTGCACATGACCCGGACGCCGGCGAGAATGGGCTCCGCACCTATCTGCTGACGCGCGACGACCACGGGCTCTTCGCGCTGGACGTCAAGTCCCGCGGCGACGGCACCAAGTTCCCAGAGCTGGTAATCCAGAAGGCGCTGGACCGCGAGCAGCAGAACCACCACACGCTTGTACTGACCGCCCTAGACGGCGGCGATCCGCCGCGATCCGCCACTGTGCAAATCAACGTGAAGGTGATAGACTCTAACGACAACAGCCCGGTCTTCGAGGCGCCCTCCTACCTGGTGGAGCTGCCAGAGAATGCCCCACTGGGCACCGTGGTCATTGATCTGAACGCCACCGACGCCGACGAGGGTCCCAATGGTGAAGTACTCTATTCCTTCAGCAGCTATGTGCCTGACCGCGTAAGGGAGCTCTTCTCCATCGACCCCAAGACCGGCCTGATTCGTGTCAAGGGCAACCTGGACTATGAGGAGAATGGGATGCTGGAGATCGACGTACAGGCCCGAGACTTGGGGCCCAACCCCATCCCGGCCCACTGCAAGGTCACTGTCAAGCTCATCGACCGCAACGACAACGCGCCGTCCATCGGTTTCGTCTCCGTGCGCCAGGGGGCGCTGAGCGAGGCCGCCCCGCCCGGCACCGTCATAGCCCTAGTGCGGGTCACTGACCGGGACTCGGGCAAGAACGGGCAGCTGCAGTGCAGGGTGCTGGGCGGAGGGGGGACCGGCGGCGGCGGCGGCCTGGGCGGGCCCGGAGGTTCTGTGCCCTTCAAGCTTGAGGAGAACTATGACAACTTCTACACGGTGGTGACTGACCGCCCGCTGGACCGCGAGACCCAGGACGAGTACAATGTGACAATCGTGGCTCGGGACGGGGGCTCGCCTCCTCTCAACTCCACCAAGTCGTTCGCTGTCAAGATTCTGGACGAGAACGACAACCCTCCTCGTTTCACCAAGGGACTCTATGTGCTGCAGGTGCACGAAAACAACATCCCAGGAGAGTATCTGGGCTCCGTGCTTGCCCAGGATCCTGACCTGGGCCAAAACGGCACAGTGTCCTACTCCATCCTGCCCTCGCACATCGGCGACGTGTCCATCTACACCTATGTGTCTGTGAATCCCACCAATGGGGCCATCTACGCCCTGCGCTCCTTTAACTACGAGCAGACCAAGGCTTTCGAGTTCAAGGTGCTTGCTAAGGACTCGGGGGCGCCCGCGCACTTGGAGAGCAACGCGACTGTGAGGGTGACAGTGCTAGACGTGAATGACAACGCGCCGGTGATCGTGCTGCCCACGCTGCAGAACGACACGGCCGAGCTGCAAGTCCCGCGCAACGCTGGCCTGGGCTACCTGGTGAGCACCGTACGCGCCCTAGACAGTGACTTCGGCGAGAGTGGGCGCCTCACCTACGAGATCGTAGACGGAAACGACGACCACCTGTTTGAAATCGATCCCTCCAGCGGCGAGATCCGCACGCTGCACCCCTTCTGGGAGGACGTGACGCCAGTGGTGGAGCTGGTGGTGAAGGTGACTGACCACGGGAAGCCCACCCTGTCGGCGGTGGCCAAGCTCATCATCCGCTCGGTGAGCGGCTCCCTGCCCGAAGGCGTTCCCCGGGTAAACGGCGAGCAGCACCACTGGGACATGTCTCTGCCGCTCATCGTGACTCTAAGCACTATCTCCATCATTCTCTTAGCGGCCATGATCACCATTGCCGTCAAGTGCAAGCGCGAGAACAAGGAGATTCGCACTTACAACTGCCGCATTGCCGAGTACAGCCACCCGCAACTGGGCGGGGGCAAGGGCAAGAAGAAAAAGATCAACAAAAACGATATTATGCTGGTGCAGAGCGAGGTGGAAGAGAGGAACGCCATGAACGTCATGAATGTGGTGAGCAGCCCCTCCCTGGCCACCTCCCCTATGTACTTCGACTACCAGACCCGCCTGCCCCTTAGCTCGCCCCGGTCAGAGGTGATGTATCTCAAACCGGCCTCCAACAACCTGACTGTTCCTCAGGGGCACGCGGGCTGCCACACGAGCTTCACCGGACAAGGGACTAATGCGAGCGAGACCCCTGCCACTCGGATGTCCATAATTCAGGTAAGAGACTTTTAGCCTAACTGGGACTTGACTTTATTGCTGGTTTTTGGAGCTGTCCTGAAACCTTTGGAGCAGGACAAAGCCACACTGCCAGCAGCAGTGAGAGGGAAACATTTTTAAGTGAAAATGGTTTACACTTTTGCCACCACGTGTACAACATATTCTATACATAACCCCTCCCATGTAAATAGTCTAAAATCTAAAAGGTGTGAATGTCTTACTTTTGTTGTATTTTAAAGTTTATTTTTGTAGGCTTAAAATGTTAGCAGTGTTCACTATTTAGAGTTTATTTTACTTTAGTTTTATTCATGGGTCTACATTTCTCTCCATAACAAAAGATTCCCAGAGTAGGAAAGAAAACATTTTAGTTAAATTTGCTTTTTAATTCTGTTTAAAAAATCTGATGCCAAAAAGGAAAGAAATGTATACTCAAATACTCAGAAGTTAACTTTTTCAAGAACAAAAACAGCAACTAGTCAGAATTCCAGAGCCTGAATCTGAGCTAAGTTTTCAGTCCTCCCCCAGAAAAGTAAGTTTTATATTTTTTAAAAAGCGTTTTAAAGAATTTGAATCTGATTTATTCTTTACAGCAGAAACTGCATCATGAGGTCTTAGCATAGTTTAAACTTCTAATATGTGAATTATGCTCTGAAGCTCTTTCTAAAGTTTGAATGAATGTAGGCTCTGGATAATGACCATTACCTGTCTATGAAAAGTTTATATTTATTTTGTCCTGATCTGTTTCTTGGAGTCATTGAGGAAAGAAAAGAGTGCACCAGAAGGTCACAGACTCACTTTATATGGTTGAAAACAGGAGGCAAAGTTGGCAGTAAAGGCACTTGATGCACCAAAAAGAATTTCAGGATGCATTTAGTTTGTGTACTGTGTATTTTCAGTATGTCTACGTGGTATTTAATATATTTTAGATAGTGTAATGCAAAGTTATTGATATATTTTCAAAAAAAATCCTAGATGACTGACCCATCATGGACATAGATTCTAACAATAGCTGGTGACTGTATTTTGTCTAGTCACTCCCTAGCTTCTTTTATCCACTATTAAGTTGTGTCACAGAAAAACTTAATTCTTGCTTATTATAAAGGCATGTTGCTACAAATTACTCTGGATGAGCACTACTTGAAATTCAAAATTGAGTTTAACTAAAAGTGACACTTTGGGAGGAAGATTAGTTTGGGGCAAATGAAGATAATTGGTTCATAATTTTATGCTTTGAAAAGCAAATACCTTTTAATGACACTTGACTCAGTAATGTTTTTATGATTAAAATGAATAGTAAAATTTCATAACCTTATCCTTTCTAACATAAGGATAGCAAATGCTAAAAAGTTAGTAAAATGTATTTTCTTATAATAGTATAATGTCCTTGTAAAACAGAGTCTTCTACTTGATGCTACTGAATACTTAAGTATCGACTGTAATATTAAATCCCACTTTTAATGGTGTCTACTGTATACCAGTAATCATGACTTTTTTGTTGTCTATAAAAGATTGAGCAAGAAATATATCCCTTGAAAAATATTGTGGTCTCTATGAAAGTCTTTCTGTGACTGCGTACTGGAATTTATGATAATCTTTTTAGGGAGGTATGTTGAAGTATGTATTTATAGATCTTTTGCAGTCATTTTATATATATACCTACGTTAAATACCTTTTTTTCTATTTTCACCATTGACAGTTACAAATATATCACAGAGTTAATGTTTAATCTTCCATTTCAAGTGCTTTCAGTTGAATTCTTATTTAGGTTCCAGTAAAAATGAAGTAGGTACAGTAGAATGTCAACAAGCCTGGTTCCTCAGTCAGATTAGTGAGGAGCAAATTTGAATGGAAGTATCCAGAAGGTTTCAAGGGACAGGGGTGCCTATATTGTATTTACACCATGCTGTTCTTTAAGCTCTTCATTGCTTGAGGAACGGATGATGGTGTTGGTGATGATGGTGATGATGATGATAATGATGATGATGATGATGATTCCTCTCAGCAGTAGAACCTAAGCCAAAGCGAATCTTACACGTGCAGGGAAAGAGACAGAAAATTTTAAAAGAAAACAAGACAAACTTCCTTGTCATTCCCTTTCTTCTAGAATCTTAATCCATGCCATAAAAACACAGAAAAACTTTCAGTTTTAAGTTCTTGACATTTTTTCCAAGGTGACTCAATGTTGCATATTGTTCCTGCCCTAGAAATATCCTCGATTTAAACTGTCAAAACAGGCACTCCTCTTCCTCTTCTTCCTCCCCCACACTGGGTTTTTGCAGTCTTATAAAGAATGCTTTCTAAATTCCTAATATGTTAATTTTCTCTTAAATATATATCACGTTCTTCTCAGTACCCATTGTTGAGAACAGAGTAAATTAACTATAGTGACCCTCCTTTCCTCTTTTTCTTTAAACTAGCCTGCTGCAAGCACTTTGTGCTCAAGTGACATGCTTAAATTCAAGTGCCCAGGTATCCATAACCTTGTTTTGAAGTGCATTTATTAGTGTGTATATTTAACACAGCCTGCTAAGGAAACACACTACTAATCTCACTTGTACTTCTGAAAGTAGTATTTTAATCCATGGAGTGCACTTGGACTAGCACCTACTAAGTCTGCTTTAGCTTTATTTTCCAGCATGTTTGTGCTGTTTAGAAGGTGCACAGTGTATTTCTATTGATGGAGTGAAACGTATTTCGTCATTGTTTTGATATACACTGGTATGAAATTTAAGAATTTCAGGATGTAGAAAACTCATATTGCAGCTTAAATTAAGATTTTTCTTAAAGTATCAAATGATATTGTGTGAGTCACAGGGTCTAAATTTTAAGGTTAAGATCTAGTTTCTTGAGCATAAGAGTATTTTTATTAAGTGAATGCAGAACAATCATGTAAGCTGGTTACACATGTAATCAGTATTTAGAAATAGTGGTTTGTGAGAAGAGATTTTATTTCAGGGTTTCTTCAAGTTTCTCAGATGACGTAAAGTCAGTCTGTGATGTGTTTAAATAATAGACTAGTGATTAAAATATCTTCAATAATGTGAGTCATAATACATTGTCATAATTAAACATTTTATTCATTTTAAAGCTATAACATTGAAATTGAAAAGTAGGATCACAGATTTTGTGGTAGGTAAGGGAAATAGATAATTATACAAGTTTATAACAGCACTTTTCATGGGAGCAATTTTCATGTGAATTATTTCGTATGTTAACATGAGAATCTAAAATCAAGTAGAGATCATTACTAATTGTCATGAGTTACTGCATATCAAGGCTTATCAAGAATTATTTGTTCAGTCTCGGAGTAACTTCTCAACAGGTGTTTTCAACGAAGGCCTGGCTGAGAAGAGGCTGGGGACTTCTTTGCTGTTGGGAGAATTTCCAGTTTTGTTTGAACATCTGTGTTTTCTTTTTTTTTGTAGCATTACTGCAAGTCATTTTAATATGAACTCATAGAAGAAAATATATTGAGCCAGCAGAATAAGATCTACTAAAATAAATTTTAAAAAAGAACACATTCTTATGTGGTGTTCTATAGTTCAATTTCAAAAGATTCACATTAGGATTGACTTTAGACTTTTTATACTAGGAAGAGAAAATCCTTTTGATATATGTGCATGGCCTTTTCAATAAAAAGGAATTAAATGCATGGTAAATACAGTCAATCCAAATATATAAAAATGAGATTGCAGCATAGAGGACTAAAGTAGCATAGCATAGAAAATAAACTCAGTATTTTAGAATGAAAAGGTGAAAGAAAAAGTATATCTTAACTAGTAACATTATCCGTTGTCTGTCTTTAGTCCCACATCTCTAACGCAAGAGATTCTTGATGATAGGGACTCTGATGAGCTCTCAAGATCGTGAACTTTAAAACTTCATATTCTAGCATGTTAGGATTTCAGTAACAAACATAAAATGTGTGAACATTTTCTTTCTTCATATATAATTTTGAGGTTAATTTTCTGCCATGTTGTTCTAAGAGAGCACATTTTAATTAGTTAGTTGCTCTCATTTTCATAAACACTATATACATCTCTACTTATAAGGGGAATGATGGACTAACTAAGGAAGGGGATGTCTCCTATAGCAGGCCTCCAAGAGTGTCTTCTCCACTTGTCTTTTTTTAATTTTTAAAAGATGGAAGGTTTAATTCTGCTTTAACATGAGTACATAATCATAGCACATTTTTTCTCTTTTATCATATATTAAAAATAGTATAAATAAGATACAGTAAAGCTGAATTAAAAGATAATCAGCCTCAAGGTGTTTTGAGTGTCTTTGAAGAAGAGTTTAAAATTCAAATTATTATCATCATTTTTAATACATTGTTACTTTTATTCTTAGTTTTGTGTGCACCTATGAAAATCTCAGCTCCAATGTGAATTTGGATGCATTTGTTTATTTTGCAATAAATGAAAACACAAAAGTATATATTTTTTAATTATATGAATTAGAAACCTGAGAACATTATTTTTACGATTAGTTGATATACCTACTCAGAGGTAATAACCTCTACATCCATTAGTTTTTAGTTTTCAACAAAATTTCCAAAATACCAGCCAGGTAAAATATTTCATCATCCTTTCACCAAGATGATAATTCATCAGTCTTTTAAAAATGTAAGAGTAGGATAATTTGAAAAAATTTTCTGAGCATATGAGTGAGTTTATAATTTTACTTAAGTTCTATGAGTGAATTTTATAATTTCAATAAATATTATCATATCCAAGTCTACATGGAGGATTTTGGAATTTTAATCTTGGCATCTTCATTTTATTTAAGGCTGTATGTGATCATGAAAACTATCACATCATAGAAAAGCATGTCCTAAAATTCCAATCTTAATTGCTTGAACATATTTTTTAGTCAAGAAAAAAATTTCCATGTTCTAAAACATTATCAATCACCTGTGACATATTGTTCAAAACACATTCAAAAAATTTAAAAAAAACAAACAAACATAATTTCCAGAAACTTTTCTTAATGAAGTTGAAGTTATATATTATTCACTTTTTTACAGTGCATATAGATTTATATATGAGGTTAAAATAAATTGGTTCCCTTAAAATAATCTCAAATACCTCATTAAAAGATTAAGAAATGCACATATTTTAAAATTTAAAAAAAACTTAAAAATCTACAGATAAGTATTTAATACTATTTACAAATATAATATTTATATTTTCTAATGTTTCATTACCACTATCAGCCTTCAAAGTTTTTACTGTCAGTGCTACTTATGTAATACAATGTAATAGAAATATATCTATAAAAATAAAAGTTATAAATTAAGAAAATATTTTGTTAAAATTATTAAAGGATTATATGTACTTATTGCAGTGAAAGTTGGCTCTGCATATATTTAGGAAAATGTGAATCCTAAAACTTCTTGGCAAAGTTAAAGTATGTGTATTCGTGTATCTATCTCTTTATATTTCCCATGTCATGTATATAAATACTCAAGCACAGATATTAGCCCATTTTATACTTGTTTAGTTCCAAGGCAGCTCTCCTCTTTTCAAAGATGAAGTCAGACCTTCCTTTTTTTCCTCTGAAAATATGGTAAAACTTGATGATTGTGCTGTTTTCAAACTTCACACATTTTCAAATTCCTTGAAGTAGAGCCAGTCATTCTAGAGCAGAGAAGTTGAGCAACGACTGGCCTTCAGTGGACAATTGGCTGGAGTTTATGTAGATGAAGAGAAAAAAATTTTCATCCAAGTTTCTGATTCTTTTGGAAGGATGGTGGGATGGTTGGAGATATTGTGAGAATATACATCTTGATCCTGGTGACAAAACAGCCTCAGGGGAAAGATGAGGCCGCTAGAACCGTGCTCATGCCAGGTTAGGAAGTAAAACTTAACTCCCTTATGCTGAGAAGCCTTGCAATATACTCAATAGTGGGTAAATTCTTACAAATGCACCTGCTAATTATGATATTAGTCATTGCTCCAGAATGTATTCCCCTCAGTGATACTTCTGCTTAATAAATCCCATAGGGCATTATCTTAAAGTCATATTTTAGTAAAGTCATTAGGGAAGGTTTTTTTTTTTTTTTCCTGTACTGAATTCCTTTAACCAATGACTGTATATTTGTTAGAGAATGGCATGAAGTTCATTTTGCCCATCGATTTGAAGATACTGTGACTTCTGCCAACCACCTACAATACACTTTTAAAGTTCATCAGGCCTGCACTAATCTATTGTCGACCTATGTTAGCAAAGGAGACATGACAAGAGTTTCCTTCAGTGGCACACAGTATTTTACGGTTAGTCATAGCTTTCACCACCAGCTTTGACAGTGATATATTGCTATCCTCTGGTCTCCTGAAATAAATTATCTATAATAAAGAAGTTCTTAATGACATCAACATTCCCAGCTGTGACTAAGCAGAAGTTTGCTTGTGCTTCCTTGCTACTGTAGAAATTCAATATTTTTAAGGTAAAGCCAAAAAAGAAAAAAAAAAGAAAAAAATACAGATGCAAAATTGTGGCTTGTGTGGGTGGCATCTTTCCCTTGTATGCACAAAGTTCTTCCAGTGATAGACTGTAAAATTGGTTTCAGACAGTGTTTGAGAAAATCTATTGATATACATGTGACACACTTCTATCTGTTCTGGTCTTAGTGACATTCTGATTACTGGTATTTCTAGGCCTTGCCCTGGATCTATTCCAGGCAGTTTTATTGTAGTGAAATGGCTCTTACAGTTCATTGAGCATCTAGCATAACTGTGCTGAATATGATTGGCGCGTTTGCATATATTTATTCAAAAAATAAGGCAGTTAAACAGCATAATTACGGGAAAATGAATCATAACAATAAAAGACCATTTAAGTTAACAAGCTTTGTGATCAAAGGATAAATACAGGTTGGATAAATGAGACTTTAGATGTAACTAATCTACATAAATAGACTTTGGTTTGATTAGAGGAATGGAATATATTAAAATAATTTAATGGTATTAGAAATGCATTTTGTTTTAGTCATTTTGAAATATTTAGAGACATGTTATTTTCTTTATATTTCTACTCAATAATATATTCAAGAACCATATCTATATTGGAAGCAAAATGGGCAAGGTACAGATTCAATATAATCATGTAAGCTTTTTTGGCTCTGGAATGCACCCTGTCCGAACAATAT